CAGCGGCCGCTTCGAATGCATGTAAAAAGTGGGCGGAGCCGGAAGTGGGCGGGGTCTGGAAGACTTCCGCAGTGGATTTTGGGCTTTATAAAAGCGTTTTTTCGCTCCAAACTTCATTGATAGATTAGGTTGGGGGTCCGCCATCACATGGTTGTCAAATTCCAGAAGCCACCATTTTGAGGGGACGCTGCTTTTAAGTATGCGGATAGTTAGGCGATCAAAAGGTCTGAAAATTCCACAGTGATTTGGTTTATGGAGGAGAGGGGTGGAGAGAGAGAGAGAGAGAGAGAGAGAGAAGAGAGAGGAGAGAGAGAGAGGGAGAGAGGGAGAGACAAACGAAGCGACACCAAGTGCAAAATACAAAAATCCGGGAATACCGCCCACTCCTGGCCACGGTGCGATATCGTGTTAGGACCCGTATCACCAAAAACTTCGCCTCTCTGCTTTTTTCAGCCGCAAACGCTAGACGAGTAGCATCTGCTTAAGACGCGAGTTGGGATTTACCTTGTTTTATTATTTTTTCACCTTTTTGCCGTACTTGGCAATAACCAAAAAATTTAAAATTTATGAATTTCTTTGTTGTTTAGATCTGGAATTTATATTCTCATTGTGTTTTAGCCAACTATATCGAACGAGCAGAAAAACCACCACCACCATCGCTAGAAACACCAAATAATAAGAAACAAGCTAATGGTGATTCTGTGGCGGTAGAGCCAGCAAAGACTGTGAATCCTTCACCGGGATTTTTGGAACCTGAGATGAAAATGAATGCTGACGATGTGAATGTACGATTTTTTTCTTACATACGATTAAAATTGTAAAAATTTCCTTGTTTTAGATGCTCCGATCAGAATCGGTCAACTCGGTGAACTCCCCTTCAGGACGTTCCAGTCGACTTGGACGAGTCTTCGCCGCAAGACATGAAAAGGACACGAAAAATAGGTAAGATTTTGCAGAATTTTTCGAGAAAAATTTTTTGCCTTTTATTTACACTTATTTCTTAGGGGAAATCAACCACGAGGTGAGTTGGAGATGTCT